ATAGACAAACGCAGTTACGCAACTTGGAGGGTTAGAAAAAGGGTTAGCAAGTTTCACAGTCAATCCCAAGTCACCAAATAACATATTACCGCTGGTGTGGTGACTGACTTATCGCAGTCAATTAAGTAACGCAGATCTTACAAAGAAATATCCATCTCCGATCTCGAACCATAATTGTAAAGCAGGACGATTGATTTACAGGCAGTGACAAAGGAAGTGCCGGGACGGCTGGAGGAAAATGAGAAAGATGTGAACAACGTCGCAAAACCGACCAAGTCAGAGCTGGAGAAAGAGAAGATACTGCAACATCTGGAGGAGCTGGAGGACAACATGAAGAATGAACAAGAGAAACCGGAGAAAGAGCGTGCTTCGATCCGCCTCCTAGGTAGGAAGACATGTATTTCATAATATGATTTTTTAAGTGATTTTTGAAAACAACTTGAAGTTTTCTTTAAATTAAACGTTGATTAAAACTACTTTAAAACTGAAGCATTAGGTTGCGATTCGTTTTAAACGTTAAGTGGATCACGTAAAAGACAAAAACAATACACGTATGAGAATTTACATGGACTACAGTCTAAGTAGTATATCTTTCAAGAGCAGATATTACCGTGTTATGCAGAGACCTGCCCAGACGGTTACCAGAACTATCGCGAAGTCTGCTACATGGCATTCCACCTGCCTCGGTCATTCTCCGTATCGGCCGAGACCTGTCGGTTTGTCGGTGGCACCCTCGCCATGCCCCGCGACGCCGGTATCAACGACCTCCTCACCTCCCTGGTGGATCCAGCAAGCAAGTACAGCTATTGGTTTGGCTTACACCGACAGGAAGGCAAGTGGGAGTGGATAGACGGCACCGCTCTCGGGACCGGCTACAACCGGTGGGCACACGGTGAAAGAAAGTCTTGCGCCTGGTACAGGCCCACGAGCAAGCAGTGGTATACCGCGGATTGTGAGCAGAGGGGACTGTTCATCTGCCAAGTCCTGACATCAGGTTTGTATCATTTCACAAGGTGATGTTGTGCTTCAGAAATAATGCAGACATGTCGAGTTGACAACAGCAATAAGTATACAAACATTAATGTTTGCAAAAGTACTAAAAAGTACTTAATACTACTGACATCAATATTTAGTATTCGACACTACATTGTTAGTGTAAGTAAAATTATCCAACATTTAAGAAATGACAAATTAGATGAGAATGCTATTTCACATTCTGAAATCATACAAGAAGACAGGAATTGAGAAATCACTAAAAAGCAGCCCTTTGCTAATCAAAACTTCTAATTCATTTTACCTTTAGCTTCAGCTCCAGGCCAGTAACCGTGCGGCCATGTTTGGGAAGCGGCTCCGGCTACAGTCGTGAAACCTGGTTTCCGCGACAGCCAGGTGTGAGGACGACTCAACGTTAGATGTTGGCAGTCCTTACATGTAGAAACTGCCAAGTGAACACTCTAACTAAGCTGAGGCATGTTTATTGTACGCATAGGCACTGCGTGAGTCAGCTTAAAGGGGCGTTATGTAACATTAGGATGTTAATTTTAATTTTCTGGTAGGTTCTTTACAAAGTAAGTTGAATCGACGCTGCTCCTTTGCAAATAAGTGCCATTCCTGAAGTGGCGGTGCCATAATATGACACATTATGTGTTGGAGTGTGCTGGAATAAATAAATACACTGATGAATAATCTTTGTTCCATATTCTTGTCTGAAGAGAAAATGAGTTGTATATTGGGAACAAGAAAAACATAGTGTTAAGTGTGTCAAGGCAAACAGATACAGGAGAGCTTGAGATATTTGCATCCAAAAACCAAGGAATAGAATTGGCTGCCGGTCTTATGGTAAGTCACTGCTTTAAAACATTAAAACGCATTCATAAAAACAAATGATTCACTTTAATTGTAGCGACTATATCTTAAACCCTTTCAAAATGCTTCAGAGTACCAAGTATATACACACATTTTCTATGTAAAATTAAAGTACTTGCAAAGCATTTTATCTTCTATGGAAATGTTAACATTAACCTAAGATAAAGATTTTTTGTATCTGCAATACACTATCATCAGAGGTTATTTAAAAATCAAATATAACTCTTTGTAAAAGTTGCAGAAAAAGATAAAGCTTTATATGTCATTTACATTATCTTAAACATTAATTATTGCAAGAAAAAATCTTTAATTCTTTACAAACAGTGAGAAGCTGAATAAAGCTTAGTTTCTTATTAAAAATATTCTTAATATAGAATAAAGCAAACTAGCACAGCAGTAATTTGGTCTTGGATATAGCAGCACACCTTAAACAGCTTCAGCACACAGCTAAAAGTCTAAACATATGAGACTAATGAAAGCCATATATACAACTCCAAAACTATGTTAAAAGATTTAACTTAATGCAATGTAACTTACAACATTTGGTATATTTTACACAAAGTTGAAGGAATGTCAATCAGATTGAGTCAATGAATGCTTTTTCAATAGCTAGTAGTGCACATATAATGTAACAGATATTCTAACTTTAACTATTCGTGATAAGTGATCCATCCATCCTTCCATCCATCCATCTATCCATCCTTCCATCCATTCACTCATCCATCCATCTATCCATCCTTCCATCCATCCATCCATCCATAGCCATCCACTCATTGAAACTAAATTTCCACTATTTAGTGTCATATACTGCTTCATTAAAAGTGTCCCTTTCAACCATTCATTCATTTGTAAAATCTTTCAATCCCTATACCATTACTCCTTTCATTTATTCAATCCTTCATCCATTCATTCATTCATTTCTACCTCTAGAGTAGCCTATGATCTCAGGTGTCTTGTTTCAGCACCAGTTTCTCCAGGTGCCTCATGGGAGCTTCTGCCATCATGCTGACGATGTAAGCCACGGCGTAGGAGAACACCACATGCCCCACAAAATAGTACGCCTGTAAAATGACAGAAAAAAACATTAACGAATCACATGCCTATGAAACAGTATGCCTGACTTACCAAAATGTTTGACTGTTCAACTCGCAGTCTTTGTCAAGGACTTAGCAGTCCACACATTTTTGCGAGATGTATGAATTGGGGGTTGTTAATAGAAATGCAGTTTTCTGTAGGCTAATAGTAAATAACAATCAAGCTTTCAGGCTATGTTTACTGACCAGCAGGATGTCAGAGTAGTGTATATTGGCCTCCATCTGGTCCTGGTAGACAATGAAAATGACCATGGGATGTACCAGGTAGGCGCAGTACGTCAGGCGGCTGAGGGGGATCCAAGCTTTCCACGACAGGATGGTGTTGATTATACCTGGGGAACAAGTAGTCAAATCATTCTTTTAAAAAAAATCATATGAAGCCCAGGTCAAATTGTACAAAATTGTAAGAAAATGCTTACATTACAAATATTGTAAAAGGGTTTCCCTTTGAGCTACTTTGCTTCACATTTCAAAATTATGATAGACGATGAGTGTATTACACAACTGTAACAATAAATAATAATTATAATAATAAAGTAATTCAATTGAAAGTTTTCGATTGAAAGTGAATTGAGGTACTTCCCTGAACATAACAAAATTACATTGTATGTTCAAACATGAGGTGCACTACACAATAATGCATGGACAAAAATTCCCTTAAAAAAGCCTTGTACCTCCGTAGCCATTGACGCAGGCAAACACGACCCAGGCCAGCCCCACTCCCCAGGCAGTCCGGTGTACAGTCAGGTACAGGATGGCCACAGGTCGACTCAGAACCACCCCCTGAGTAAGATGGTTGTACAGTCCATACACAACACCCATGCAGATTCCTGTAGCTGCCAGCCAGCCTAACAATGCTACTGCCTGTAAAATGTACAAACAAAATAACACGTTAAGTATTCTCATTTTGATTACTGTGATTGTTTACTTTGGTCAGGTACAGAATGGCCACAGGTCGACTCAGAACCACCCCCTGAGTAAGATGGTTGTACAGTCCATACACAACACCCATGCCAATCCCCGTAGCTGCCAGCCAGCCTAGCAATGCTACTGCCTGTAAAATGTGCAAACAAAATAACAAGTTAAGTATTCTCATTTTGATTACTGTGATTGTTTGACTTTAGTCAGATACAGGACGGCCACAGGTCGACTTAGAACCACCTCGAGTAAGATGGTTACACAACACCCATGCCAATTCCTGTAGCTGCCAGCCAGCCTAGCAATGCTACTGCCTGTGGCAATACAAATTAATGTACTTTCATAAGTAAACATTGCTTTTGTCAATCACTCTAGTCAGGTGCACAGTTAGAAAAATGGATGGCTGTTTAGATGACAGTCTGTACACAATACCCATGCAGGCTCCACAGTATAAAAACATTACTTTCTGTGAAAAATTATTTTTATTGTCAATTTTTCATTTATTGTTCATCTATTCAATTTTACCCTAAGACTCTACTTTTATGTTGATTAATCACTTCAGTATGGCCCTAATCAAATCGAAGAGCCAGCAAATTGAATTGGTGCCATCCAGAATTGCACTACCTTGTGCATGCGGACCTGCCCCCTGGTTCTGTAGAGCAGATAGCCCAGCATGGTTCCCACCAGGTACGGTCCGATCCTACAGTACGGCTTCTGGTAGTACAGGTTCATCGCATCAGGGTTTTGTCTGGAATTTACAAATAGAAAAGCATTGATTATCAAAATTTATTACGTACATGTATAGATGAAGTGAAAATGGCTGGCACTGATGTGGCACTAGTAAAATTTTGGCAGTACCATTATGTACTTCAACTTATCAAACTATTACACAACGTTTGGACTGTAATCAATGGAGACTTTGTGTGGCCACTGGCTAGCTACCATCTGGCTTTTAATCTGGACTCCCTTATTTCTTGCAGATAAAATGTTGCCTTTTTGTTTCTCACTTCTACTGCCACTATCATGGCTATTGTTTAAATGAACTCTCAAGTTTGATAGCTTCTGTAAGCTTACCTATTATTGCTTTTCTGTGTAAGACTAGGTTCAGCACTATGTTTGCCAAAGATGCTGTAAAAAGAAATGATGATTAGAAGTTTAGACTTACCCAGCTGATGACATGGTGGGTTGCAGGTTGTAGTGTATGGCCAGGCCGATTGTCGCTCCAAAACTGGCCAGCAGCAGAACAACCTGGGTGATCATTCCCACCAGGAAATACCTGGGAGAGCAAGAAAACAGGATTGTGATAATCAGATTGATTAATTGATTGCTTGATTGCTAAATATACCAAATCAAACAAAGTCTAGCTGCCACTGTTATACCAAATCTGTAGTGTCCATAGTTTAAATTTGTGATGTTCCTGAGTGTACAAAAGTATTATCACAAAGGAGACTGTGGAACCCAAATCATGGAAACAGAAGTTGTGGAAGACTGCTCATGACTTAACAGCTTAAATCTGACAGTGGTATGAACCTAAGTCAGCTGTCTGCAGAGATGGGTGACAGAGAGTTATAGATACAGGAAGATTCCAAGCAGGCTTGATGGAGTGAGTGAGTGAGTGAGTGAGTGAGTGAGTGAGTGAGTGAGTGAGTGAGTGAGTGAGTGAGTGAGTGAGTGAGTGAGTGAGTGAGTGAGAGAGAGTGAGTGAGTGAGTGAGTCAGGTGAGTGAGTCAGGTGAGTGAGTGAGTGAGAGAGTGAGTGAGTGAGTGTGTGTGTGTGCGTGAGTGAGTGAGTGAGTGAGTGAGTGAGTGAGTGAGTGTGTGTGTGTGCGTGAGTGAGTGCGTGAGTGAGTGAGTGAGTGAGTGAGTGAGTGAGTGAGTGTGTGTGTGTGCGTGAGTCAGGTGAGTGAGTCAGGTGAGTGAGTGCGTGAGTGAGTGAGTGAGAGAGTGAGTGAGTGAGTGAGTGAGTGTGTGTGTGTGCGTGAGTGAGTGCGTGAGTGAGTGAGTCAGGTGAGTGAGTGAGTGAGTGAGTGAGAGAGTGAGTGAGTGAGTGAGTGAGTCAGGTGAGTGAGTGAGTGAGAGAGTGAGTGAGTGAGTGTGTGTGTGTGTGTGTGCGTGAGTGAGTGAGTGAGTGAGTGAGTGAGTGAGTGAGAGTGAGTGTTTGTACAGATACACTTAAACAGTAGCCTACCTGAATGTGATCCAGATGATTGGTACACTGATGACAAAGAACTGCATATCATTAGCCAGGTACCAGGTCCAGCCCATGCACTGGAACAGGAATGGTAAATTTGCAGACTCTTTTGAATACACAATTTGAGACTGCAAAACTTTGAAAATATATGAAATAAATTGCAAGGGCTCCCCTTTCATCATCATAGGGCACAACCTACATCACCAAAATGAGCCTGGTAGAGACTGCAACAATGTCCTCTTCAAGCATCTTTCAGAAATAGTCAAGACACAGGGATCATATTTCCAGAATGATGACATTAAACATCAATTGAAAGTTATTGAGGGAAACAACTACACTCCCACTCACAGTTCTGCAATCATGGTCTCTACTAATATTTACATGCAAGGAAAAACAAATTGGTTTCTTGCATACCTCTTTTCCTGTGACCATGTCTAAGAAGTTGTTGATGTAGAGAAAGTTGTACCACCAGTTTTTGAGACAGCCGGGATCGGCGGCGGTGGTGGCGGCAGGACCGGTCATGATGTAAGGGTAAACCCACACCCACAGCATCAACACAAACGCATAGACTGGAGTCAGTCTGCAGGGGAAGGGGAGAAGCAACGACATATTAACGCAAGGGTCTTCATGGTAAGGAGAGTCTGCTGTGCAATGAACATGCATGTAAATACTACATAGCATCTGTCTTCTCTGTCACAATCAGTAGAAGTATGGTTCTTCAGTGAGCTAAAACTGGATCAAGATCACTTTTGTGGCAGGAATTCTTGATCTAAACTCTAGGTAAGGCAGTTCAACTGTAGAACCAGAACAGCAAGATTCATTGAACCAGACTTACACATGTTATTCTTATAATTTTCTCCCCTTCCCTCTTTCCATCTATCTATCTCTCCCTCTTTCTTTTCTCACCTCCAGTATCGGTGCACATACAGCAGCCAGTAGGGGAACCTGCGACCCTCCCTTCTGTACTTATCCAGCTGCAGCAGCATCAGATAGGCCATCAGGACTCCACTGTAGGAAATGGAAATACAGTTTAGAGAAAGCTATTTCTGTATTTATCATACAGGTGCAAAGAAGGACAGATATTACAGGGTTGGAGAAAATCTGCTGTTCTGGGGAAAAGAACAACTGGAGTAAATAAGGGCAAATCAGCACCAAGGACAAAGCAAGTTGCACGCAAATGTAACTGATACTAATACATAGGCTTTTTTCCTCATGACCTCACTGAAAAGTGGCCAAATGATGACCAATATGAATAAACAAAGGCTCAAACAAAATAAAATGCTTTCTTAAGAAACAAGACAGACTTTGAAGTCTGGACAAGAGGACAAGGTAAACCTAGTTCAGTTCTTACCTTAGGAAAAAGAAGGAGTCCACTGAGAGGAACCCATTCAGAATTGGCTCAAAGCTGAAACGTTTCATGATATTCAGACCAAAAAGTGGGTTGTCTGCAGAAAGAAAAAAAAAAAAAGGACCATCAGTCTAATAGATCAAACTATAGCCAAGTCAATCTAAATTCTGAAGTTGCTGTTTCATATTTGGCTGATGGAAAAAAAATACCTGCACTTTAACTCTATATTTACCACTAAGGCCTTACATGTGCATGCATTAAGCATTGTCTATAGTTTATACTCTATAATTAACTTGTCATACATACTTGTCACCTCCCCTCCACTGACAACGAATGACCAAACCAGGTCAAGGGACTATGTAGTAGCTCACCCATATAAGATGATTTTTAATTCAACAACCTGTATGTGGGTCTTCACACCTGATTCAGTGAAATCACACTGCTTGTTGAAACAAGAACCTAAATCTTATAGTTTCTTTCCAACCTGATGGAACCTTTGACAAAAGTGCCTCACCTAGATAGTCTATCACGAACCCGAAGGTGTGTCCCAGGATGACCCAGGTCATGCTGAGGAAGCGGATCCCGTGCAGACACCCCAGGCTGTCGGGAGACTCCCGCGTAGACAGCAGCTTCCGGGTGTTGGTTCGGACGGAGAAGGCCAGGAGGAGCTTACACAATGGCCCTGTTAAATAAATAAACAAACAAAATCACTTATGTGTGGTTTGGATAGAGAAGGCCAAGAGGAGCTTACACACCGGCCTTGTCAAATAACAAATAAACAAAAGACTTAGTCAATTAATCAATTAATCTTTATCTAAAATCAAAGCTTGCAGACAGATAAAAAATTTACATGCCCAACTCTTGTTAATTTTACAAGTTGTGGCAAAATGAGGAAGAACTTGAAGACAGGCTTATGCCTTTAGGTGCAAAGTTTTGGGGAGTGAATACACCCAGATGCAACATTTTCCTCCCAGCTCTATGTTTAATTTCATCTTGCCCTCCAAGAAAGAGAACCAAGAAAGCACAATGTCATACTTCAAGAAACAGTTGAGACTACGTTTTGTACTCACTTTCCTGAGCAGAAGGCACTATCACCTTCTCAGCTTGTCTTGTCACTGAGGTATCGTTGATGAGTGGAGTTGTCTCGGTGACTGCTCCATTTGTATACTCGTTGCTGATTGGCTGATGGACCTTCCATATTGGCCGAGAGATGTGGTTGGGCTTGAAGACGTCGTAGAGTGTTCCAGCGATCATTAGTGCCACAACGATGCTCACAATACATCTGGAAATACAGGTTTGGGAATTTGAGCTTGAAAAAATGTGTGTGTGTATGTGTACAAATGTATGTTTATGTGTGTTTGTGTGTGTGTAATAATATGTGTTTTTGTGTGCATGTTTGTATGTGTGTATGTATGTATGTATGTTTGTGTAACGCATGTACATGTGTTTCTGGTTGTGAGTGAGTTTGTCTGTGCACATATCGAGAACTTGTAGGATTGTGTGTTTGATGCCTTCTTTGTCTTCTGTCCTTGCTCTGACCAACTGTATACATACAACGTATATATTTGCACTCAAACTCTTACACATATCCTTCCCTACTCACATGACAGCTAGTGTAGTCCTGGGTAGAGTTGTCCAAACTGTCAGACTTTTTGCGTCCACCACTGTGATTCCCTCTCGTAACAACAGCCTCATCAGGATACCTGACGGGTAAAAAAGGGAACTTATAAATTTTTCAGACATGCATGACGTAAATGCCTGAGCTTGTGTGAGGTTCTAATTATCATCATATCATTATGAAGCAAGTTTAAACTGTAATTTCTAACACAGAAATTGGACTGTACTTACTCCAAACTCTGTTGAGGAATTAAAAGCAAAGACAGAGACTGGAGTTGTACAGTCGAAAATTTGGGTACATCCAATTTCTTGTGTTGAAAATTACAGTTTAAACTTGCTTCATAATCATAATGACTTCTCCCAACAGATGAACTTTCAAGATAAAATCATCAAAGTAACTGCTAACACTATCACACATCATTCAATAATCATTATGTACTAGAATCATGCAGAATCAGACACTGATCACAGTGTAACATGACTTACTGCCATCTAACCATTCAATCACATCATTCCTGCTGCAGGTGTCAGGGACACAAACTCCAACTCGCAGGTACAGCAGTGGCTTCTGGAAGGACACCATTGCATAGATTCAACAATCAATGTGTAAATCACAAGACTGGAGTCTTTGTAAATACAGTCAAACCTGCACAAGTCACTACCTCTACATATGGACCATTGGCCAATGTGGTCTTACATCATTATTTTCCATTGGCACAAGCATTAAGAATCCTGTCTATAGAAACCACCTGTTACCATGCTCCACATTTTATTGGTTCACTGGGTGATCTTCTTGGGCAAGTTTGACTGTAATGTCTTGATGTAATATATCATTATTCTGATAAGATTCATAATTGTTAAGGACCTAAATACTTGCAAGTGTTACATAATAAATCAGCTAGCATTCAGTATATGTAGAAGAGTCCAATTAGGAAGGATTCTTTGAATGTTAAAGTTACAAGAATGAAAATACAGGGGAAGAACATTCAAAGTAACCCCCTAGAAACACACACAAATTTACCTTGATGGGTGTCATGGAACATAATTATAACTTTACTTGCCAGCATGTGCAAAAGCACTTATTATAGAATGTTAACTTTTCTACACAAATGTTATTATTATGATTTGATAAAAAAAAGCAGCATACCGCAATCACTGGTCCAATGGTTGCAGTCCAGTATTTGGCATCAAAGTTGATGTTTTCTCCGTAACCCTTGGCTGTGATGTTTGTACACTGGCTGTACAGGCCCCACCAGTTCAGGTTCCCCTCAAAAAACCCACTCGGCAACTTTCCGGCTGCATCAAACACTGAAAATGTATAAAAGTTTTTTTAAAGAAACAGAGTAAGATATTAACAGTTGGAAGACAGCAAAGAATGGGGGTTACAGAAGAAAGGGTAGAAATGAATTTATACATGTATATGACTGCAAAAAATTTGATCAGTCAATCCGAATCATCTGTCACATACAAAGCTGATCACACCAAAATGGCCTTAAGTTTAATGTGTGCTGAGATTCTCTTCAAATGGTGATATGTATTTGGAAACATTGAGGACTCTACAACAAGACATCCAAGATATCATCCACCCCCCCAAGTACACCTGTTCTCGTCTAGTCTCAATAACACCTGTTAATGTTATGTCTAGGACAGACCCCCTGGTGTGAAAAGTTTCTTATTTGTCAAGACCAATTCCCACGACTATTTTCAACGAAATTTGCCTACGTAAAATTAAATCCTACAAATAATCATGACTAGAAATTCATAGTTGCTACACTTGTGTCGTACGTAAACTTTGCTATAAAACTATTGATAGATGTGAGTGAAATTAAGGGTGGGAGGGGGGCTCACTTTGTAAGGCGTACATCTTCCCATGTAGGAGGTCCTCCTGGTACCGGAACGTCGCGTTCCTACAGGCTTCCGACACGTTGTGAGACGGCACGGCCATGTCTTCATCAGATCTCGCCTTTGCGGCGTCGTAGGCAGCCACCGCCGCCTTCCAAGTCGCATCTTTCCACACCCGCAAGGCTTCGGCGGATTTCTGGGGCTCCAACCTGCGAGTTTCGTCGAGAATTCGTAACGCTCCCGCAAAATCCTGCTGCTGGAACCAAACATCGTCTGATAGAGCTTCCCCTGACACGAGCAAGAGGGCAAAGATCGCTCCTCTGATGTCAAACATCGCTGCCAAAATATTTGTTTCTTATCGATAAGTTATAGATGTCAAAGATTGAGGGCAGCGTTCTATAGGTCACAGTTTTCAAACAGACGACGCAGAGCTAAATTCTGGTGCTGCCAAGTCCAGGGTTTGTCCAAGCTATTGTGAGCGAAGAAGTTGAACTTCCTAGTCCTTGCAAAGGGCTTAAGACCTTTCTACACGTCACTGCATTGCCGAACTTCTTCGAAGACTGCAGATGAATGCTACTGCATTTAGACATGACCTCAAAGTGTGGGTTGTTCCATTTTGCTCGGGGAGGGGCAGGGTGGTAGATATGTTACCATTGAATTTCCCGACAAGATAAGAAGTTAATATTCTCATGAAATCGTGCATGTAGAAAGGTTTATTATGAAACAACGTCAGTTACTCATGTGTAACTAACTGCAACATCTTTCCACCCCCTCGACATTAATGGTACACCCCACCCCAAGATGATGAGTCATGCTCACCTGTAGACCTGACATCACATGATCATCATATCAGGTTTCACAAATTCACACACTATCATTATGGGCATGATTGAGGAAACTTAATGTTTTTTTTTAAGAAAAAAGAATTAAGCATATTGTACCATCACTTCCAAACCAATGGAATAAGAAATAGACAACTAATGGATATCCCAATAAACTATCAAGTCTCAAGTATCTTAGTTTTCCATTTTATTTCTACAGTGAAAGAACATGGAACATAGCATTGAAATTGACAGAATTTCATAAGTTAGCTGAAATTCCTTTTTGAACTTTCTGCTATTCTACACAGATTTACATTACAAATTTGTCCTAGTGAAATTGATGATGCACCCCTAACTTACTACATGTCATTGCACATAAAGTATTTGGCTATTGGTCCTGGCATTCATTCTTCCATTCATTACAAGGAGAATATTTAGCCTGCTTGTTTACAATCAGGAGGATACCTTCCTTATAATGTTACATATCGCTAATATTAAACATGTCTTCATCAGTAATATGTGATACACACATATACAGTATAAGTATTGCACAAAAGCCAACTGGCCTTCCTAGAGATCTATTTTTATCCTAATGGATATATAAAGACTTCAAGTACAGCTATGAGAATCTTGTGATGCATTTTTCCTAGCTTTATGTTGTACTTGGTTCTGAGACTCGTGTCCTATGAGCTGTATCTCTTTGGATTATTGTACATGTCCATTTCGCTACTTTCTGTACATCTACTTGTACTGTTGTACATATATTGAAATCACATAGTTAGCTACTGCCTCTTCTGTCTGTCCCTGGTTTGATGTTGTGCTTGGTTCTGAGACCAGTACATCTTTTTGGACCTCCATTTCCCTACGTTCTGTACAGATACTAGTACATTCAACAACTAACTACACATAGCTAGCTACTGCTTTTTCTGTTCCTGTTTTGATGTTGTGCTTGGTTCTGAGACTCATGTCCTATGCGTTGTACCTCTTTGGACTAGAGGCCTGTAGAGACTGCCTCTCTGCCTGAAGCTCCTGTCGAGCCTGCAGACTGGACTGGAGCAGGTCCCGTAACTTGGTCGGTTTCTGTACACTTAAATCAATACACTAACTGTAAACCACTTGGATGTTAGATAGCTACAATATAATTGCACATTGTCACATAGCTAGCTACTGTTTCTTCTGTTCCTGTTGTGAAGTTGTGCCTGGTTCTGTGCTGGACTGTGCCTGCAGGGACTGCCTCTCTGCCTGTAGCTCCTGTCGGGCCTGCTGGCTGGACTGGAGCAGGTCCCGTAACTTGTACCTCTTCGGACTACTTTCTGTACCCCTACTAAATGTAGTACATTTAAATGCTGACTGCAGACCACTTATAATTACACATAGCAAGGATTTAAAGCTTCTTGCACATACTATAAGTTCACTACTGTTTTTTCTGATCCTGTTTTGTTGACGTGCCTGGTTCTGTGTCCGACTGTGCCTGCAGAGACTGCCTCTCTGCCTGTAGCTCCTGCCGTGCCTGCTGACTGGACTGGAGCAGATCCCGTAACTTGGCGTTCAGAGAGTCGTTTTGCTCCTCCAGGGCATCCAGGCAGGAGTCCAGCTGGTCCAGCGTGTTGTTCAGCTCCACCATTTCTACAACAGAAAACACAGCTGGTGACCAAAGATAACTACAACATGAACATCTATCACATACACGATATATGATATAGGAAGGCTGGGGGGATGGGTTGAAAACATAAAGTAATTTGTCATTACTGTGTTAGTTTCATATACTTGGAGTACATACATGTGTATGCACCCCTGTGCACAAATGCATGGACACTGACACACAGACACACGCACAAACATACAGAGAAATAATTGTATATAGTGAAGTCACATATGCACCCTCACGCTCGAATGCAACCACATGCACACTGACACACACACACACACACATGTACAGACACACACACAGACACACGCACGCACGCACACACACACAAACACACACACACGCACATCCCCTATGCTTTAGCCTTACATAATCAAGTTTAGGCAGAAGTTGGAAGGGCTGATCGTTCAATTTTATGAATCAGTTAAACCCGTTTATTTCCCCGACAAGAGATCCTTCGCCGAAGAAAGGGTCTGGCTTGGTTTCGAGCCCTCCCCTATCTCCAAACATCTGCTTGGATTATGCTCGAAATCACGAGATGCTATGTAGTAGAGTCGACCAAACGAAAAATTTAGACCGCCACCCACCCTCTTTCGTCTCGTCAGGAATGCCTTCCAGTAGGTCCACGTATCCGTTAACGTTCGCCATGTAGATCATTCTCCGGAATGAAAAATCTACAGACAAGAACCTCAGCTGACCTCCAAACCGAACCAGGGTCTTCCCCGAAAGTCTTTGTAACACGTCATGTGATTGGCCGATTGACGACTGTTTCACACTTCCCAGGATGCACCTTCGGGCAAAGGGAGGTGTCAAAGTTGAAAGGTCAAGATAACAATGGCTGCGGCTCGGGCGACATTTCCAGAACTCGGCAGAAAGTTGCAGGTTTTCCCGCCGTGAGCAGACGTTTGTGTGAGTTTTCAGCGATGCCGAGGAGTCAGCAAGGTAGGAAGAAGCCCTTCAGTGCCAAACAGAAGAAAAAGCAGCTACGGGACAAGAGAGAACGGAAGAAAGGTGGGTGCGTTTATGTGCGTGTTTGTGTTCGGACTTGTACCAATATGGAAGAGGAGGGGGCGTGTCAACTTTACTGTATGAAGACTGTGAAATATTTTCATTAAATCTGTGTCCTTTCTGTGCTGTTAATGTAGCAGAACGTTGGTACATTTTTGTTTGCAATCCAGTGTCATGTGATACATGAAGCACGAAGTTATAAAATGTCAGATGTCAAATTATTGATTATTTTGTCTCCTCAAATTGCCCTGGGATGCCTAAGTAGTGATAAAATTATGTATATCATTTTAATAGGGGAAGAGGGTGTACTCCTTTCTAAGGGATTTTGCATTGCATTGCAAGTCTACTCTCTTCAACTAAGACCATATACCTTTTGTGGTACATTTTGTGGAAGAATGTTATTCATGATCAGATGCCTATATAATGTCCTTGCACAGATCAATGTACAAAAAATATTTTTCCTGTGCTGTGTCCTACAGACAGAAATGAAGGGGTGAAAGGTCAGAACCTGACCTACAGTGATGATGACGAGGGTCAGGAGTCAGAGGTCACAGGTGTGCCAGGTGATGAGAAGGTCAACGTGAGGAGGATAAATGAACAGCCAGTCTTCAAGAGACCTGGAGAGAAGGGATATGACCCAAACAGGTGGGTGGGCTTGTTTATTATGTTTACCATTTTAGAAGGGGTTGTGTGGCGTAATGGCATCTAGCATTCGGCTCAGAACCAAGAGGTCCCGGGTTCGAATCCTGCCATGTAGCCAATTTTTAGCCCTAAAGGCACCTTACACGACTTTCTTCTTTCACTAAGGAGAAAATGAGTATGCCAGAGTGATCATTATCATGATCGTGGGAAGTAAAGGAGAACTAACCTAGTATTTTTGCTCAGTTTCTTCTCTCTTCTTCATCTCCAAACAGATTTCAATGACCTGGAACAGATGTCTGTTACCATGGTAACATGTCATCATTTAAAGAGAATGAGAAAATTTGCCCAGATATGACAAATATGATCAGTTTTCTTCCATCAGGTATCGCCTGCACTTCATGAAGGAGTCACGGGCTGAGATCGAGAGAAGGAAGAAAATAGCCCGCGAAAAGGTCATCAGTCAAGTGTCAGAGGTCAGTGACCTCCATGTCATTTCATTTCAGTGTAGATACTACAGATATGTTTCTTATGTAAAAACTCTTTTATACTTATACCTTAACTGTGCTTTGTTGAGAGCTTAATTGTGTTTAAACAAAATATCCGGAAATCCCCATTGTTCCTGACACTATCATTTCCCATTACTAGTATCACTTAGTACATGTTTCCTCTTTTGTTTGCACTTGTAGGCAGATTTAGAAGTTGCAATAGAAGACATCTACCAGCCAGGTTCAGGTAAGTGCTTTCTTGATACACTGTGGTTAATAAAATTTAGATATGAGAGACCAGCCCCTGTACTACTTGTATAGTCTCCACCATACCAACAATAAGTTTAATAAGGTTAAAGAACCTTCTCGCGTTAAATGTCACATAGGGCGGCACCCATCTCTGTTTTCAATACCAACAATGCTGGCTAAAAATAGTAGAATTTAGGGAGAAAAATTTGCAAATGGAGTTCAACCAAAAGCAAGTATACAGCCCTAACCCTGTTTATTCCTATGGCCTGTCCAGTCCTGGACATGCCCAAGCGTCCCCACTGGACCTACAGAGAGTCCAAGGCCCACCTGGAACGGAAGGAGGAGACCTACTTCCTGTCTTACCTGGAGAAAATCTACCACACCTACCCTGTGGACACACTCAGCTACTTTGAGCACAACCTAGAGGTCAGAGCAGATTTTTTTAATTATGAAAAAAATATAAGTGTATTTTTACAGTATCTGTAACTGCCCTTTGGCAAAATACAACAAATACATCACAGTTTGTGAAATATAGCTACTTAATAGCTTCCTTCGGCAGTTTGCATATTCTATGTCATACAATGTAGTGATCACCTCTTTCAAAATCTAGAATAGTCTACACATTTGACTTAACTGTAGCTTGTAAACCAAGTCCCACTGTACTTTCAGGTCTGATCAATGATGAAAAAAAAAACTATTTTCATTTCTTTCCTCTCTTCTGTCCTCTGCAGACATGGAGGCAGCTCTGGAGAGTTCTGGAGATTTCAGACATCATTTTACTCATCACAGACATCAGACATCCAGTAAGTTCTCCTAGATACTAGTATGTTCCCAAGCAACTGTTGTTGTTTTGTAGGGTATAACACTGTGTTACCGAGCAACTGCTTCCAGGCTGCAACTGTCGAAGGTTCTACACATTTCTGTACAATCATGTTTTTTAATTGTTGTGCAGTACAGTCATGAAGAGTCTACACTGTATAATGGCTAGCAACTGTTCTGTATCAGGTTCTACACTTGTGAAAGTAAGATTCTAGTCCTAGTGCTGAAGAAAATTGACCAAGTAGTGGCCACTGCCCCAGGCCTTTTGCTTCTTCTTCTTCTTGGTTACCCCCAAATAACCCCGTGAGGAGTGCCGTTAAGGGGGGGAGAGGAGGCCCAGGCTAAGGCAGGCAGGCCGCCAGCCTGGCCCGGAATGACTCAACATTGGGAGCCATAACTACCAGGTCAGGAAAGGACTGAATTTCCACTGCAGAATAGTATGGGGAAAAAAAGAGTATCTGTAGGTGTCTGTGCGTGTGTTGCAGTTCTGTTACCATGGGATTATTGTTTCTAAGCAACCATTGTTCTGTTTCAGGTTCTGCACTTCTCCCCAGCTCTGTATGACTATGTTACCTCAGAGCTGGGCAAGTCTATAGTCCTGGTGCTGAACAAGATCGACCTCGCGCCCCCTGCCTTAGTCGTGGCGTGGCGCAGCTACTTCAAGGTCAAGTTCCCGCAGGTGGAGGTCGTTTGTTTCACCTCCTTCCCCAAGGAGCACACCGAGGAAGAGAAGGACCCAGGAACAGGTCTGGATGATCCTTTAAGACTCTGAATATAACTCTAGACATTAGCAGAGCAGTAAGACTGTGAAAGATTGGCAAATAAAGGAAAGAAAGGCTCCTTGAAAGAAGAGAAAAATTGATGTAGTAAAGAATAAAATCTACTCAGATCTTGTTTGTAGATTACCCTAAAACTTGTCTCTATTTGTTTATGGAAGCAGAGTATCCAGACTGTGGGAGAATGATATAATTAAGACTGGTAAAAAGGAAATAAATACTCCTAAAAGATGTCAAAATGATGTAGAAATAGTCTACAAAAAAGCCATTCATCTTGTTTGTAGATTAGTCGTAAACTTGGCCACTGTTTGTTATCAATACAACATGTTTTGATATTACCTTTGAAAGTGTTTTGGAGTTTGTAATCCTAACGCTTTCTTGGCTGCTCCTCAGTGCTACAGAAGAAGCGTCGGCGTCCAGGCAGCGGCATGAAGGCAGTCGGACCTCAAGAGCTGCTGGAGGCTTGTGAGAAAGTCTGCAATGGGAGAGGTCAGAGGTCTCCTGTTTTTTATTATTCTGCTATCACACTTGCCAAGGGCTCTTACTACTGTATGGCCGTATGGATAGCCTTTGATTTTATAAACTCATACCATAAATTTATAGCATTGGTGCCATCCAATTTGCTGTACACAAATGCATAATGTTTACCTTTACATGGTGACAGTTAACTGTTTAGCTCAATAAACTATTTATTCTTACTCAAAAACATTCATAATGTATTATGATGACCAGCCCCTCCTACTCTGTCCTACACCTTGCTACATAAGGGTGTCCGCTATATCACCATTTTCCATGCATGGTAACAGCCACATGGTCTAGGTCATTGACCTTTTTTGTTTGGAGAAGAAGAAAAAAAGCAAAACAACACGTTTTCCTTCTGTGAAGGTAAATTTAAATAGTGGTGTGCTTTTCCATCCCCAGTTGATTTGCAGAGTTGGGGGGAGAAGATTGCGGCGGCAGAAGCTGACGGGGAGACAGACGATGACAAGGACAGGGACACGAGCGTGCCGAACCCGCCGGCAGAGTCTGAACAGGACAGCAGCGCCCCCTACATGCAGTTCCGGGACGGGGTCCTGACTATAGGATGTGTGGGTTAGCTCCTGTCATTGCTGTTGTGACGTTACCTCTTCATGAATTCGCTTTTAACTTTAGTTTCTTTGCATGATTTTTTTTTCTTCTGCAAACTGCAGTTAGAAGAAAGCTGGAACATACTGTCCAACAGCTAGCTCTCACAATTTGTTATCTTGGATGTTCAGTATTTTTAAACAAAAATAATGTCTAACCCTTCACCCCTCCAGGACACCCCAATGTGGGCAAGTCCTCCCTGATGAATGGACTGGTGGGGTCAAAGGTAAGGAACTTCAACCTGCTCTTGAGTGGAAGACTGTAAATAAGGAGTAAAATTTTTGGCAGGAGAATTAAATGTGTTCAAGCAGTGCTACATACACATGTGTCATTGCCATGTCAAAGTCACGTCCAAGTAGTGTTTTTTTATGAAACAAACTAGAATCAGAGCATGTGTGAATATCATTCATAGCCTGTGTGTCAGCCTTTTTAGCTTTTGTACGCTCCCCACGATCCACTACTGGCCAAAGCGGATCGTGGGGAGCGATGAAAGCCGAAAAGGCTGACACACAGGCTATATCATTCATATTAACATCAAGATACATATGTGGCCAGGCCATTTTATGGATCACAAATGTTACATCTGATCCCCTTCCCCCAGGTGGTGAGCACTTCCCGCACACCCGGCCACACCAAGCACTTCCAGACCATCTTCCTCACCCCGACTGTACGGCTGTGTGACTCACCTGGACTCATCTTCCCCTCACTCACAGACAAGCAGCTACAGGTCAGGTCAGGGGGTATAGGTCATGAGTCAGTTCAGAGGATACAAATCATGGGTTAGGGGTCAGGCAGCTGTGTGACTCACCAGGACTCATCTTCCCCTCACTCACAGACAAGCAGCTACAGATCAGGGAGTAAAGGTCATAGTTCAAAGTTCAGATGTATAGATTACAGGTCAGGTCAGGTATGTGGCTGTGTGGCTCACCTTCTTATCTCTCTTAGACAGTTGCAGATCAGAAGTTATAGGTCATAGGATACAGGTTAGGTACTAAAGGGCGGAGTGTGTTGCTTGTGTACCTCTTCAAATAGACAGCTTTAAATTAAGAACTCTTCGACTAACACTATACAACTGGGCTTAAGTTTTTTTTTTTTTTCTAACCTTTATTTAACCTTGAAAATGTACAGTACAATTTCGTAGCAGTACAAACTCTTCGGCCTAAGCCATTTTTCAAGAGGTCAAGGGGAGGTAGGTCAGGGGTCTTTGCATATTCTTCAGTTCAGTTACAATTCGGCGTATAATTACAATATAAATATATACACAGTAACGTTATACAATAATCAAACACTATCTCTGTTCGTATGACTCATCAGTTTCAAGCATCCAAAATTCACTTCACAAATTTAGTCATTCTAATTTCTAACTTGTGACTTGACGCAGCCGGTTTTTAAACGCTGCAACTGACGAAGCCGTTCTTAACTCAGTTGACAAGTTATTCCACAGTACCGATCCTGAGTAGGAAATTGATCTTCTGTACACTTCCCGACGAACCCTTGGCACATACAAAAGGTCAGATACACTTTGCCGCGTGGTTCTTACTGCCCTATCACTACAGTATGTAAATAGTTCTCTCATGTAGGCTGGCAAACAGTTATTAAGGCTTTTATAAGTTAGCAGGGATTTCTGGTCTCTGTGTATGGATTTGATGTCCTTCCATCCCAGTCGAGTCCGTACTTCAGCCGACGGCGTTCTGTGCGGGGCTCCCAGCAGCAGCCTCCCAGCCCTGTTCTGCATCCGTTGAAGTTTCTGTAGCTCTTGCAATGGTGCAGTGTCCCAAACAGTACTTGTGTAGGTTACATATGGTAGAAAAATACTGTTGTACAAAGTACGTAGTGCTAATGTGGATATGAAGGGACTGACGTGCTTCATGATACTTAGGGATCGTCTTAGCTTACCCAGTACGTGTTTAACATGCCCTTTCCAGTTCAGATTATTGTCAATGTATATGCCAAACTTATATATGTTACACATGGTTACAGGTTGAGCATTAATAACCAAGCTGGGGTTGTTGCTGTTTTTCAGTCTTTTGTCTGTACCCAGCAACATGCACTTACATTTACCCCCATTCACAGACAGAGAGTTCACAGCAAACCATTGAGACAGCCTTTCGAGATCTTCCTGTAGGACGGTCTCAATGGTCTCAACATCCTTGCTGCTGACATAAATGACCGTATCATCGGCATACATTGAAATGCTACAACTTTGAATACAATTTGGCATATCATTTACATAAATAATGAAAAGTAGTGGTCCTAAAATTGACCCTTGGGGCACACCATACTTAACCGTGTGAAAGTCAGATTATTGACCTAAGATCTCCCCTCTCCGTTCAGGTGCTGTCCGGCACCTACCCGCTGCCCCAGCTGCAGGAGCCGTACACGTCGGTGGGATACCTGGGGGCCAGGGTGCCCGTGGTCCGCCTGCTGAACCTCCGTCATCCTGACAACGACCCGACCCAGCCGCAGGGGGCAGCACAGGAGCAGTGGTGTGCCTGGGACATATGTGATGGTGGGGAGTTGATTTTGTATCTTCTACCTAAAGCATGCATTAAGCAATTGTTATGGTGGACCTGGTTCAAGATCATTATGTTTACCGAAGGAAAACATATTGTTTTTGCTCAGTTTCCTCTTCTCCAAACACAAAAGGTCATTGACCTGAACCAGATGGCTGTGACCATGGTAACTGGTGTTGGGTTACATCATGTTGCAATTTTAGATTTAGGGATTTAGAGACTCTAAATCCTGCCACAATATATATTATGAATGTGTTGGATTAATAGAGCAGACCATATGCGAAGGTAAACATTATACATTTGCTTTGCAAATGTTACCTTTCTATTTTTCACTTGTTATTTTAGCTGGATAGCAACACCTTCCCATTCCTAATAGGTCTTGATATTTCCTCCATTCTTCTCAGCCTGGGCTGCGAAGCGAGGTTTCTATACAGCAAAGACAGCGCGAACAGACGTGTACCGAGCAGCCAATAGCATCCTGCGTATGGCCCTGGAGGGGCGAATATGTCTGTGTATGAGACCACCGGGATACACAAAACACAAAAGTATGTTCGTGAAAACTAAATGGTTGTGATCAAAGAACTTTGCTATTCATTCATTTACCAACCTGATGAAATTATTTACGGAAGTAAGCTATAGTCCCAAACACTTGGAAGCTACTAGTGTGTGAAATGCTATGGCCAACCCTTAACACTTATAATATCTTGACAGATATATTTCATGTGTGGATGAATATGAAATAAATTCAGCAACCAGATAAGTTCTCTGAGGAATGGCAGATGTTTCAGATAGCACCCGCTACATCTTTCATCAATGACTGAGAACAAATGGTTTTTGCTATACAGGCTATTACTGTATTAGCTGCATTCTCAAGTTCTGTCACCATTTATCTGTATTAGGCTAAGTAGGCTTATACATGTACATGTACAAAAATGTACATTGTACACATGCACATGGTTTTGACAATGTCTATGCAACCGTGTCTGTTTTGTTCAGGAGACTGGGAGTCCCACCCTGAGACCAGTGTCATCGCAGCGCTACAGGACAGCAGCAGGGGACGAGTCATGGAGGAGGACTCAGGATCAGACTTCTCCAGCTCTGAGGAGGAGGAGGGAGGGAAGGAACCAACCACAGGCAGGAGGGGGCAGGAGGAGGAGTCACCAGAGGAGGCGGTTGCCATGAGCAACCCGTTTGATCTGCTAGCTGATGATGATTAATGTTAACATGAACATGTGGAGGACTCCATCTCTGGGGAGGACATTTAGGAAAGGAACCAACCACGGATAGGAAGGAGCAAGATAGAGGAAGGAGAAGTCTTCTCCGGAGACGGTTGGCACGAGCAACCCATTTGACCTGCTAGCTGAAGATGATTGAGGTTTACATGTAGTGCTTGTGTAAGAACATGTAACTTTAGGATTCAAGATGTGAGGAAGACAGAGGGAAGATGGAGAAGGGACAAAAAGCAGGAGACAATTGCCACAAGCAACCAGTTCGATCTGCTAACTGATGATGATTAAAGTTTAAGATGTAGACAAGTGCATGGATCAGAACATATGGAGAACTCCAGCTGTGAGAACAGAGGGAAGGAACCAACCAAAGGCTGGAGGAAGAAAGAGCAGGAGGAGGCGGTCGCCATGGGCAACCTGTTTGATCTGCTTGCTGATGATGACTAATGTTAATATTGCATGTGTGCCTGTACTATTATTAAGGACATGTAGAAATGTGCAATAGGGGACCGGGTGGGTGTCTCACTTTTCTACAACACAAAGTTGCTAACAGTGAAATCTGCTAAAAGTGAAGTGGAGTCAAGTCAATAAAAAGAATATGACAAAAAAAAGCTATAAAATGGCAGCAGAAAATACCCAAAAGGACTGTAACCCTCACTTGTAGTACCCATACTGAGAGCTATATATTCAGTGCTTAGGTCACAAAGTACTAAAAGTTATAACATCTATACATTCAAGTTAGTATTTATAGGTCAGAGATATGTAATAACTAAAGACAGTACTAGTAATTAAAGCAATATTGTTACATGGTTAGTTACAATTAATGAAGCAATAGAAACTAGTAAGAGATGCGTAATAAGGAATTCTTGTTGGGAGTCTAAACATTAGGAAGAACTGTGCTGATGGAGGCTAGAAATATTAATATTTAAGTACAAATACTAAGGGAGGCAACATATACAGCTAATGGCCATATGTAACTATAATATAACATGGACAAGAAAGATATTTTTACTGTTACTGGAAAGCAAGTACAAAGTATAACAGAAGCAAGCATGTGTGAGTGACGAAGATTTATTGTAAAGGCATGGAACGGTAAAAATCTATTTTCAGATGTTGCTAGAGCAAAATTGCTGCTAAATTCACTCTACAATCATTCCTAGTTTGTGAATTATCGGCAAGTTGATTTTTAATTTCATATTCAATCATTGGAGACCGATATTTGCTTTCAAAAAGCAAATGATCTCAGTAAAATTTTGTACGTTATGTTAAATTTGAAGAGAATATGGTCTAGGTATGAGTTGAAACTCAGTTTGATGGTGTCAACAAGAATACATGCACAAATATGACAGTGAAACATGCATTGCTGTGCTCAAGAGGAAAGAGCATGATCTACATTTTGTAAACCTTTGTTATGTCATATCTGGCATGGAATAAACTTTACTTTGCATATTGATGACTGTTGTCTTCAAGTCCTTCTGTTTCTTTATTATATTAAGACCTAACTCTACATAACATTGTACCCTATACTGGTACAAAAATAATGACATACATGTACATGTACCTACACGGAATACTGTTGAGAGTTAATAATTGAATTCTGTCAAAAGAAATAACCCAATTTAAAAACTGGACCAACACAGTTGCACAGGTGGAAAATTAATGTATATATTCTGTTGGTAACATCTTTGCCTTTCGATTCCTGGGGCACAAAAATACAAAGTTGGGGCTAAAGGGTATTGACTGGACAGAAGGGGTTGTCATAAATGATGATATTGGATATTCTGGACTGTTCCACTAGTCAGCGAAGGGGTTGGCATGAATGGTGATGTCAGATACTCTGACATCAGACAGTGGTCTGTAGGTTCTCTCCTCCACCGGAAGTTTCTCCAGCTCATCTAATGTGTCCAGACCGTCTATGACCCTGGGGAAGAGAAAGGGGGGATATTTACAATAAAGCACAAGAAAAAAAGCTTATTGCTTTGAGACCTGAAACCAGACATATATTGGCACATTACATTGTAATTTCTTTATACACACACTAGTATTATGCAATCAATCTTTCCTCTTCCTGATATATCCCTTAGCTCGGCTTAGGTACATCTTCTATTGGGAGGGAGAGCATTGGAACTACAAACACTTGTTGATGCTGTGTAGTTTGCCTCACTGTACATTTTCAGTTGTGCACCAGTCCTGTAAGTGTATAGTACTATTCTGTCAAGGAAGATGCAACTTGTCTGGGAAGATCTAATACTATTGAGGAGTTCATCATAAACATAAACTTCAGAAAGTGAACTGAAGCTCTGATTGTTACTGTACATAGTCATAATTATTATGAATCCTTACTTTCCAAAGATGGTGTACTTCATGTCGAGATGCGGCTGTTTGGCGTACGTGATGAAGAACTGAGAACCGTTGGTGTTGGGCCCGCTGTTTGCCATGGAAACCACCCCGCGGACGTTGTGCTGTAGAAGGAAAACAAACAAACAAACAAAAACAAACTCAGTCTCGGAGAACATTCCTGGGAAAATGTCGAAATTGTTTTTACATGTATTACATATACAAGAAATGGAAGGCTATAATATAACATATGGACAAGAAGATAAACAACAGATACTTTGAATGTGACAGTAGACAGTTCAAGACTCGAAGTTTCCAATGTTTGTTTTCAACATTCGTGTTGTTTACCTTTAATGTGTCGTTGATTTCATCTTCAAACTTGCCTCCCCAGATGCTGGACCCCCCCTTCCCTGTCCCAGTGGGATCTCCCGTTTGTACCATGAACCCTTTGATGTTCCTGGAGGGAGAGGAAGGTTAATACATGTACATGTATTGTCATATTTAAGCTTGACACAAGCAAACAGTTTTACCGTACAGGCTTAAAAACATCAAGCCAACCACTGCTATAGCTACATACCTGCAAAGATAGTGTGTTACACACTGGCTATACACAATACACATTCATCTTCCAAAAATAGTTTAATCACGTTGGTAAATGCACCACCTACAGTGGTTACATTGGCTACAAATAGCTGCGAGAAGCAGAACTCCAGTCGGAAGCTCTGAGGGAGGTCTGACAGACATTGAAACGTCAGCAACGTGAGAGAAGTACTGGTTGTGTAAAAGAAAATCTAATACACATTCATGTAATCTGTTCTCTATTGTAATTACCCACCTGTGAAAAACAGTGCCTTTGTAGTAGTCACTTGCAGCAAGAGCCAAGAAATTCTGAAGAAACAGTGAAAGGGAAGATTAATAAATGGATGTGTCACTATCACACCCACACAATAATTATAGATTTGTAATTTACGTACGTCCTTTCATACATTTCACAATTTATTGTTTATGAAGGTGTAGATGAGGTTGAACTTGAAGCATCATTTTTACAAAAAAGTTTTTTTTTTTTAAATTATGACTTACCTCACACGCTTTCGGGCTCTGCTCGCAGAACAGTTCTATCTTGATGTCGCCCACATCTGTGTGCAGCGTTACAGCCTGGAAGAGAAAACAACAGGAGTACAGTTTCCCTTAAAATCCCACCTGATTCTTGCGTTTTGTGAAATACACATGCACACAGCAGACGTTCTTTGCCCCCCTCCCCCATCTCTTTCGAACTCAAACATATATGATTAAATTACTCCCACAAAAGTTCTTGCAACATTTCTATACACCTATACAACAATGGTTATCTAATTTCTCTCTTTAGATGATGAAATTTTACCATTGAGTCCCAAAACCGGATAAAAACCCTCCCAAAAGCAGCTGGTCTCAAATCTTCCCGCGACTTCCGCACTCTGCCAGTCTCGTCTCAAGTCTCGCCGCCAACTCTCGCTCCAGGTCAACCGCGAGATTTTAGAAATGGGTGACTTTAGCGATGTTTCGACAGCTTTAGAGTACCTCAATGGACAGAAAATATTCTGTAGAAAGTTTTAAAGAAATAGCGCGTGGAGTTTTGGCGTGTGTATTAATTTTTATGGTATTTTATGGGCACATTATGCTGACCCAGGTCACGTGACCAAGCTCCATGCTGAACTGGGGTGGGTGCATGGAGGGGACGTGAAAACTGTTTCCAACAATTTTCCAAACGTTTTCCCGCGACAAAAACTCCGCTTCCGGACTTCGCCGCGACCTTTTTGGCTCTCCAGACGACTCTAGGAACCCAACATGGCGAGCGTGTCGTACCATATCTCCAGCCTTCTGGAGAAAGTGAGTATAAACATCAGTGCCCACCAGTGACACAATTTTTTTTACAACACTGCATGTCACAAAATCAGCCGATTCTTTCTGTTCTTCCCACATTAAATATTAATTCCTGCTCGGTGCATTAGCTAGTAACGGCTTAAATATATGTTTCGACTTGATTTCTGACGTATTAGCTGCAGTTGAAATATAAGAAGTTGTCAGAAGTGATGATATGACAGTTTTTGGTGCATGATCGCGGCTGCATACAAAACATCACTGGCATGTGGGGAGGGGGGCGGCAACTGCAACATGATCTAATTCAGCAATACTCAGTGATGGGATGTGTTGACTGCCTGCCAATGTCAGGTTTAGTGTTAGGTATTTAGGGCACTATGTAGACCTAAATGTTTTATTAGCATTCTAGAATTTTCCCCATTTTTCAAATAGACAATATATTATAACTAATTTGATACAAATTACTACATATTTATTACTACTGGTACAAAACAGCAATAAATTCTGGTTACACACTTTAGGTTCCTAATGAAAAGACTGTGGTCTTTTATTTTTAGAACTTAGTAGTATAAGACAGCGTTAGTGATGCATACCGGTTCACTGGACTTGGATCCGGACTTGTAAGAATGTTTAGGTTCAAGTCCAAAAAAAACCTAAAAGTCAAGAACCAAGTCCGGACTTATTACCATAAAAGACCATTTCACATACCCCTTTTCTTTCCAAACCACCTAAAACCTTCCGTAGATTGTAAAATCTTTGCTGCAAAACGAAGAAAACATTGCCATCGAGCATCGTCAAGTACCGGCCTCCATGTTATGTTGCCAAAGTTTCACCCAGACAACATTGTAAGGTTGCCAATATGCAATTTTGTATATGCCATGGGTTTAGGTCCGGACTTACAAGTCCGGAACTGAACCTAAACCTCTGGACTTGAATCCGGACCTGAACCTAAAATTGGGTTTAGGTATGCATCACTAGACAGCGTTAAGATTATACTAAGATTTCATAGTCTTTGTGGCCATGAAAAAATACCTAAAACCTTTCTTAATCAAATCATGTACTTCTTTGTACGTTTTTAATGCATTTTATCATATAGCCGGACGGCGCGGACCAATCAGAGGCCCGGATACCCGTGCTGTTATTTCCCGATAACAGCACATGTGGTGTTATGGCGGAATAACAGCACATGTCGTGTTATGGCTGATACCATTATGTTATAGGGTATAGGGGCATGCGACTCTTTCTGTAAACCTTTGTAGCATTTTTCTGTCCAATAAACTTTTTTGTTTAGCTTCATTTAAACTACAATTTGCATTAAATGAAATTATCCATATTTGTTTTAAAGCGTATAATATATTCGAATGTATTTTTATGTATGTATATATATTAAAGCTGTTGTATTTCAAACAGGAATTGTGTTGATTGACAGTTTGGATAGGCTATATGATAATAATTTTAATGCACTGCCTTTTCCTCGTTGTATATGGTGTCATAACTGCATGGGCAGCTGCCATAACCACCTCATAAACCACCTCGTTCGCTTCGCTCACACGGTGGTTTATTCGGTGGTTATGGCAGCTGCTCATGCAGTTATGACACCATATACAACTCGGGGCAGTGCATTAACCCTTTATTATATGATTATGAATGTTGTTCAATGATGATAACAGGATCACACATGTATTTTTGATTTGTGGTTGTTTATTTGTTTGTTTGTTTTTTGTAGATGACGTCCAGTGACAAGGACTTCCGGTTCATGGCCACCAACGACCTGATGACAGAACTGCAGAAGGACTCCATCAAACTGGACGATGACTCCGAGAGGAAGGTTTGTTTGTTTGTTTGTTTATTGTAAGGGCTACGTAATGTCATGGCCTGATGACAGAACTGCAGGAAGACTCCATGCGACTGGACAAAAACTTTGAAAGGAAGGTGGGGACAGTTCACGTATGTTGAGGGGAGGAGGAGGTTGCCTTCTTAGGGATTGTGCAGTTGTATTGTAAGGAGGGCATGGCCTGTTAATGTTTAAATTAGGGGTTTAGGACAATTGGCTTGTTCATTTCAAGGCTAATTACATGTACGGTTTTCACAAAAATTCTGAAAATTCTTTTACAAAAATTGGTCCTATGATAAGGCTGACACAGCTTTAAGTTCAGAAAATAATTTCATCAGGTTGACAGAACATATTACTAGGAATATTAGGATATTGGAGTTTTCTTTTTACACAACCAGTATTAAGTTTTAAGTCATAAAAAGAATTAAATGAAGTGGATGTCTTCAGGTTTCTTAACCCCTTATGTCTTCAGGTGGTGAAGATGTTGCTGAAGCTCCTTGAAGACAAGAACGGAGAAGTGCAGAACCTGGCCGTCAAGTGTCTCGGGCCGCTGGTCAACAAGGTCAAGGAGTATCAGGTGACCTTGTCGTTTTCTTCTTGATGTCAAGACTCACTTCCTACGAACTCCTTAAAAATTTCCCCTTGCTCATCTTCAACAGTGGCTTATTTTTTAAAAAAATAAGACCGTATGAAAAATATTTATTTCTAGGTCATGCTTAAGCTTTTTCAATGCTTATTTCTTGTTTTTGATTGTAAAATTGCTGTTTGATAGAAAATTGGTCTGTCAATTGCTATATGTATAGTTACATGCAATACTTTATTTCTAGATGGTTAACTTTGTATGGCTGAAAAATATCACTTTGCTAGGCTGGTTCATTTGGTTTTCTGTACATGATGTGGGGTCAAATTGTACAACTTGTATCTCCTACAGGTAGAGACAATAGTGGACACGCTGTGTTCCAACATGGTGTCGGATAAGGAACAGTTACGTGACATTTCCAGCATCGGGCTGAAAACCGTCATCAGTGAGCTGCCGCCATCCTCCAACGCACTGGCCGCTTCCATCTGTAAACGCATCACAGGTGGGGACAGCTGTCTGACTCTTTTCCTTCTTAAAGGTCTGCTTAAATCACCTGAGGTGGCCATTAGAAGAAATTAGAGTCTTCTCCCAAGGAACGGATGTTGAGTAGTAGAAATGAAGCTGTGTGTGAGAAAGTCAAGGAGTCAGTGAACAAATGAATTAACAAATGTCTATTGGATTACACTACTAGGTAGCTTATACAAATGCACCGGTATGTATGTAATATACATTGTACTTTTTTTAGTGCTTTATGATACAAATCAGTAAGAATTGCTTTCAAGTTTGAGGTAATTTTGTTTGTAGCCTCTGCCAAAATGTTATTACTTACAATGATGTGTTTCACTTATTATGTTACAAATATGACTGACACACTAGTATAGAGTTTTCAGTAAATCTTGCAACCTTTGCCCTTTGCCCCTTGACCAGGTCGTCTGACCAGCGCCATCGCTAAGCAGGAGGACGTGTCAGTGCAGCTGGAGGCGCTGGACATCCTGGGCGACCTGCTGAGCCGCTTCGGCAGCCTGCTGGTCAGCTTCCACCCCTCCATCCAGGCGTGCCTCCTGCCACAGCTGACCAGTCCCAGGCTGGCCGTCAGGAAGAGAGCTATCATTGCTATCAGTAAGTAACCTCTCACTCTTAACTTTTAACCTTTAACCCTGCTGGTCAGCTTCCTCCTCCCACAGCTGACCAGTTCCAAACCCATCATCACTGTCAGTAAGTAACCTTTAACCTTTAACCCTCCTGGTCAGCTTCCTCCATCCAGACCAGCTTCCTCCCTCAGCTGACCAGTCCCAGAGCCATCATCGTTGTCATTAAATAACCTCTCCCCTCTAACATAACCTATAACCCCTGCTCAAGTTGACCTGTCCGGAAGAGAGCCATCATCTTTGTTAACAGTGTTTTTTATTGTTGTTTATCCCGTTGCCTAGGTTACCTTGTGCTGAGTTCCAATAACCAGTTGTTTATGGAGTTAATGGACCACCTGCACATGTTGTTGTTGTTTATCCCGTTGCCTAGGTTACCTGGTGCTGAGCTCCAATAACCAGTTGTTTATGGAGTTAATGGACCACCTGCTCATGTTGTTGTTGTTTATCCCATTGCCTAGGTTACCTTGTGCTGAGCTCCAATAACCAGTTGTTTATGGAGTTAATGGACCACCTGCTGACGGAGCTGGGTAAGAACAGCTCCACCTCGACCACACGGACGTACATCCAGTGCACGGGGGCGATCAGCCGCGCCGCGGGACACCGCGTGGGCGAGCACCTCGAGCGCATCATCCCACTCATCGTCAAGTTCTGCCAGGTCAGGGTTATCTTCAGTATCTTATCTACTATAAGGTGTTTGTGTTTTTTTTCCTTTGGGTTTGTTGAAACTGTAATTCCCTAAAAAAATTGCACTTACCTAACTGTTCAACTGACTAACTCCAATTTTTGTCAAAGAATGAACAACCCTCCACTTCTGTATAGTCATTTTATGCAGATACATGTAGAACACATGACATGGTGACCATAGATTGCAGAAATTGTATGGTGCCTCCTGTCCCAGTTGAGGGATGGTTGTAGGACTCTTTTGGTTTCTATGATTCCTAGACCTGAAAGGGGTTTTGGCAATTTGTTTACTCCTCACCTCACCGGTCCCATAGCAGTCATGTTTGTTTACTGAATAACTGGAAAAGTTTGTGATTGCAGAAGGATTTGAACCATGTACTTTAAGGTCAGAAGTTAGGATTACTAACAATTTGTAACAAACTTGTGTTTTCCACCCTCAGGTAGAGGATGATGATGAGCTGCGTGAGTACTGTATCCAGGCGTTTGAGTCGTTCGTGCGCCGCTGCCCTAAGGAGGTGTCTCCCCACGTGCCGACCATCATTGCGCTCTGTCTCCAGTACATCTGCTACGACCCCAACTACAACTACGAAAGTGATGAAGAGGTCAGGGTGATTTTTATTATACCTCATTAGTAAGGCAAATTAACTCTTAATCCTAACTATGCTCATTACCGTACTGCAGTAGTAGTTGAAAGCTAGGGGATAAATTTGTTTTTGGTAAAACTTACCTTTTAATTCCAAATCATGACCTTCCATCATTTTGGTAATTAGATATTTTTTAAGAGAAAAAATTCTCAAAAAAATTTTCTGAGAGAAAAAAAATTTCTTGAGGAAAAATATGTTGAGAAAACATTTTTTAGAAAAAATTATTTTTAAAAAAAATTTTAAAAATTCTACCTTTTTAAAGAAAAAATTTAAGAAATTTTTACTATAAACTTAAAATAAAATTTTCTTCCCCTCAGGATGCGATGGATGCAGATGAGGAGGATGAGGAGGGGGAGAGTGATGATGAGTACAGTGATGATGATGACATGTCGTGGAAGGTTCGCCGTGCCTCTGCCAAATGTCTGGACGCCATCTTGGGTTCCCGTCGGGAGATGATCGGCGAGTTCTACAAAACTGTGTCGCCTGCTCTCATCGCCAGGTCAGGAGTGGTTTTATCAAGTTATTTTTTTTTTCGAAATGAAATTTATGAATAGCTTCATCTCTGTACCATTATGTATATGTTGTGATAGACTTAAAATTCATAGTTTAGTAGAAGATGTGCAACTTTGCTACACATCCATTTACAGTTAGGAATATCTACTGTAGGATGTACCTTGAAATCCTCTCATAATTGCCAGGTTGGGAGTTCATTTGATTTTAGTCAATTAATTTTGGCTTAGTCTACAAAGTTTTGAATTGTTTCTATAGATTTTAGAGATAAACTCAGTACAAAGCTGAATAAGGAAGTCAGAAAAATGTCTTCTTGTTTCTTAGGTTCAAAGAGCGAGAGGAGAATGTGAAGTCGGACATTTTCCACGCGTACATCACGCTGCTGAAGTCCACCAAACCCGCGGCGCTCACGACTGTCGACCCTGACGCTATGGATCAGGAGGAGGGGCCCATTGGTCAGTTCCCCGATAGATTAACCTTCAGCCTGCTAAAGTTCATGTTGGATTAGGTATCAGGGAGAGGGTTAAATAAAAGTACAAATTTGTACCTCTGTTGAGTCATTGGCCATTGTAAAATTTGGAACAGGAGTAAAGTTTTTTTTTCCTGTAGCCATGCTGCAGTCCCAGGTCCCCAGCATCATCAGGGCCCTGCACCGACAGCTCAAGGAGAAGAGCATCAAGACTAGACAGGTAAGCAATTACAAGTACTAGTAGTAGTATATGTATCTGTATAGCTTGAAGTGCTTTAAAGGCTGGGGGTTCAGATCTCTTCTACCAACTTGCATGCCGCTGGATTTAGGGTAAATTGCTGGTCTTTTCCAATTTAAAATGACCAGTGTTTTTACTTCTCGTAGTTTATTCTTAAAAAGAGTGGAAGAATTTTCCTTCTACAAATACAGTAGGTTGCATCTCTTGTAACACAACCAGCTGAAGACTAGCTTTCTACAAACCTAATAATTTTGCCTTTTTAAAGGTCTAGCTTGCTGTGAACCTCAATAATTTTGCCTTTTTCTCCACACCCCAGGGCTGCTTTGCCCTGCTGACGGAGCTCGTGTCGGTTCTCCCCGGCGCGCTGAGTGACCACATTCCCGCGCTCATTCCCGGGATCCAATTCTCGCTGTCCGACAAGAACACCAGCTCCAACATGAAGATCGACACGCTCGCGTTCCTGAACTGCCTGCTGACGCACCATCCTCCTCAGGTCTTCCACCCTCACATCCCCATACAGGTGGGTTTGTTAACATTATGTAGCGAGTGGCAGGACTGTTGGAAGGGCTGGTCACCATATGTAAGAATGTTTAATGTTTGTATATCACCTAGAGCACCATCCACCTCAGGTCTTCCACCCTCACATCCCCATACAGGTGGGTTTGTTAACATTATGTAGCAAGTGGCAGGACTGTTGGAAGGGCTGGTCACCATATGTAAGAATGTTTAATGTTTGTATATCACCTAGAGCACCATCCTCCTCAGGTCTTCCACCCGCACATCCCCATACAGGTGGGTTTGTTTGTTTGTTTGTGTGTGTGTGTGTGCTGACGCACCATCCTCCTCAGGTCTTCCACCCGCACATCCCCATACAGGTGGGTTTGTTTGTTTGTTTGTTTGTGTGTGTGTGTGTGTGTTTGTTTGTCTGTCTGCTGACGCACCATCCTCCTCAGGTCTTCCACCCGCACATCCCCATACAGGTGGGTTTGTTTGTTTGTTTGTTTGTTTGTGTGCTGACACACCATCCTCCTCAGGTCTTCCACCCACACATCCCCATACAGGTGGGTTTGTTAACAGTATGTAGCAAGTGGCAGGACAGGTGGAAGGGATGGTCACCCTATATATGAATGTTTGATATTTGTATATCTTCTAAAGTGCCATCCACTTTAGGGCTTCCACCCTCACATATATTTGAATATGTTTGAGTAAGAATAAACAGAGCAATAGTTTGTTGAGCAGCTGGTTCATGTGAAGATAAACGATCTAGTTTTTGATTCTCTGTTCTCCATCCAGGTACCCCTAGTTGTGCTTGCTGTGGCAGACCCATTCTACAAGATCACATCAGAATTTGTAGATATGGAAGAAAGCTAGAACAAAGTCTCTTTCTGCTTACAGATTATGAAGCACCTGTTTAGTTGCATTTTGAATTGTGATCATCTATGATTCTATGATCTCCACCCAGGTGCCCCTGGTTGTGCATGCTGTGGCAGACCCGTTCTACAAGATCACGTCAGAAGCTCTGCTGGTGACCCAGAACGTGGTGAAGGTGATTCGCCCACTGGACAGCCCCACTCAGTTCGACTTCCGGCCTTACGTAGGAGACCTGTACAAGTCCACACTCAACAGGTTAGTATATTACTTACTTATTATTTACTAGTAACTATCAGTCATTGATATTTACGAGCGATGTCACAGCCAGCGAGTGGTAAGCAAAAAGCAGGTGACAGTTGGGTGATTTGCCTACAATGTTTCTGCTTCTTCTCCAAACACATAAAATCAATGCCCCGGACCAAACAGCTGTCACCATGGCAACCGATGCTGTAGCAGACACCCTGTGGTGTTAGAATACATTATGTAGCAAGTAGCAGGACAGAGTTGTAGGGGCTGGTCACCATATATTCGAATGTGTTTGACTTGGAGTAAGAATAAACAGAGCAGTTGTTTGTTGGGCTAGACCATGCTAGACCATGTTAAAGTAAGCATTATGTATTTGTTTTGCAGATGTTTACAGTTTATAGTTTTATTGGGAAAATCAGGCTCACAGCATGAGGTACAAGTAAAACAAGCTGAATTCAACTGATTTGTACACTTGTATGTGGAAGTCGACAAGAGCAGCAACTTGCATACAAAAAAAAACCCCTCAAGCAACCTATACAAAATACCTGACTGGGCGCAAAGTAACAAGAATGTCCTCAAACAGTATTATTGAATGTACTTTTCTAGTAAATATATTTGTTTTTCTTGTCCAGACTGATGGCAGCAGACATTGACCAGGAGGTGAAGGAGCGTGCGATCACCTGCATGGGGCAGATCATCTGTAACCTTGGCGACAACCTCAGCACAGAGCTGCAGACCTGCCTCCCCATCTTCCTGGACCGTCTCCGTAACGAGATCACACGACTCACCGCCGTCAAAGCGCTCACCATGATCGCTGGTTTGTTTGTTTGTTTGTTTGATATAGGATCTCCATTACTGCATTAGTGTAAATTCCTTACTATTCCTTTGTGGAGTCTGTAGTAAGTTACCAACTTTCAGATACTAGTAGTAATGTTTGGACTATAGCACACTGGGGCATGCCCCCCTAATCTTTGTCAAAAGTTGCGGTGGGCTTTTTAACGTTCATGTGGTACCGGTGTAGCTCTCTCCAATCCATTTAATGTCCTATCTGAACCTAGGTACCCTACTTATTTTCTCTTGAGTGAAGTAAGGAAAGTGTCTTTCACAAGGGTACAACTTTGGGACAAGTTGAGGGATTCGAACCCAGGACCTACTGTTTCTGGATCAAACACCAAATCATTCTCTCGTGGATGATAAGTTGTTTTTCATGTTGAAGAAAGGTTCTCTTTTTACTGTTTTTAGGCTCGCCGCTGAAGATTGACCTTCGACCCATCCTTGCGGAGGCGATGCCGATCCTGGCGTCGTTCCTGCGTAAGAACCACCGGGCGCTGCGTCTGAGCACGCTCACAACGCTGGACGTGCTCATACAGAACTACGGGAACGCCATCACACAGGACATGCTCAACGGAGTCCTGGCAGAGGTCGGCCTTTGTTTATTCGTTTATTATTTGTTGGAGCCTTTGTTTAGTAGTATTAGTACCGAATTCAAGATTTATTAAGGTTCTCCATCCAAAAATACCCCTTTGCTGGTTGAAAGACAGCATGGGGGTCCAAATCACAGTATAGGGGGTCCAAATCACAGCATAGGGGGACCCTATGCTCAAAAGGCCTGGCGAGAACACTGCAACCAGTGGAAGAATAGGTCTTCAGTGAGCTAAAACTAAATCGTGAAACATGACAGTGATCTCCTTGTATATTTTCATCAGGTTGGTAAGTCACTGAGTAAAGAGAATCTTTTTACAGAATCAAGTCTAAGATAAAGTTCCCTGTAACCACGCATATGGGTAGATAAGTAAATATTGTACATTAGGGAATGCATCTATAGCAGCGACACCTGTGCTACAGTACAATCTGAACCAGTCAGAATTGCCCTAAAGGGAGGTGACAGACGGTCACCGAAACGTCGGCCGAATAAAAGACTTGGTTGACCGTGTAAAAAGAGTCTCTTTACTCCATAAAAGTGATCCTAACTTCCAGTTTTCCCCATCTCCCCCCCCAGGTCCCGCCCCTGATCAGTGAGAACGACCTCCACGTGTCCCAGCTCACCATCAACCTGCTGACCTCCATGTCACGGGTTCATAGGTCATCCCTGGCCAAGATCGGAGAGTCCATCCTCCCTGAGCTGTTTGTGTTAGTGCGGTCACCGCTGCTGCAAGGTTGGTGTTGCCATTTCAAGCATCCCACCATTCATTTTGGATGATATTAATTATACTTTGCATGAAGTCTTTTCTGGTTTTGAAGGAGACAGGAACTGTGTTGATACAATCATTCACAACTACTACAAGGTTTAGCAGTTTATTGACCTTTGGCTTGCCTTGTTTTGAGAAAAATGGCAACATATCGGTATCTGACAGTCTGAGTTGCTACGATTTGCTACGGGTTGAGTTACAACTGTCATTTTTAAGTAGTTTGTTGTTGCTTATGTTTAGCTCCAGTTCTTGTATTTCTGACTCCTCTTTTTTCTTTCTCCACCAGGTGCTGCCCTGACTGCAATGCTCGACTTCTTCCAAGCTCTGGTGTCCTCAGGAACCCCTAAGATGGGTTTTCGCGACCTTCTGCAGTACCTGACCACCCCCATATACAGCCCCACGCCCAGCACGCAGCCCCCCAACGCGGCCTTCGCCGTCCACAAGCAGGCCTTCCACTCCATCGCCAAGTGCGTGGCCGCCCTCACCATCACGTGCGCCCACGAGGGCGCCGGCGTCGTCAACCAGTTTGTCAACGACGTCAAGAACCCGAAATCCACGGACTCGATCCACCTGTTCTCTCTCCTCGCGCTGGGAGAGATCGGAAAGCACGTGGATCTCAGCAACCAATCGGAGCTGATGGGGGTAATACTGGACTCGTTTTCCTCACACAGCGAGGAAGTGAAGTCAGCAGCGTCCTACGCGCTAGGTAACGTTAGCATCGGCAACCTGCCCAAGTATCTGCCGTTCGTTCTACAAGAGATCGAGAGCCAGCCAAGACGGCAGTACCTCCTCCTGCACTCCCTAAAGGAGATTCTTTCCTGTCAGGCCACGAGTCCTTCAGGTTTGTTGGCTTGTTTGTTTGTTTGTGAATGTGATATCAAGATTTCCAAAGTGTTTTACATGTGGTGGACACTGGTCTAAATGGAGTCCAATGTAAATACAATTCAATAAACCTTGGTTGTCAGGAATGTATCAAACATAGACCATGGTGTCAGAACAGAGTAAGTTTCGTCATACAATCATATGAAAAATAATGCTTTCTATGATGTAATGCAAACTACTATGTATATGTATATCTTCCTCCCACAAGTATGAAATATCTGCTTGTTTAAAAAAAGTTGTGGAGGCACTCAAGACTTTGTGATCATTATCATCAAGTCATTTCACAGACCTTGCTTCATCCAACTTGTTCTATCCTCTGTAACTCTAAAAACTCTAGAAAAAGCAGCATGTATTTTCACAAAGTTGACTTCTCTTTATTTTGTAAAAGGTGTGGAGGCGCTGAAGCCCTTCATTGGCAACATCTGGTCGATGCTGTTTAAGCACTGCGAGTGTGCAGAGGAGGGAACACGGAATGTCGTCGCTGAGTGCCTTGGGAAGCTCACGCTCATGGACCCTGTCGCGCTGCTCCCCAAACTCAAGGTTTGTTTATTGTTATGTTTGCAGAAGAAAAGCACTTTATTTTGCTCTGTCCTTCTTCTTTTCTCCAAGCAATAAAGGCCAATGTCCGAGACCAGATGGCTGCCACCATGGTAACTTGTGCTATAGCAGCAGACACAATGTGGTGTAGAATTACATTATGTAGCAAGTGGCAGTACACAGTTGGAGTGGCTGGTCAACATATATTTGGTTGTGTTTAAGTAAGAATAGACAGAGCAGCAGTTTGTTAGACCAACATTGTTAAAGGATCATCAGAGCTCAGTCAATATTTCTCATATATATGTACATTTAGTTGTTACTCTACCACTAATACTGTAAGGGTCTGTTGGGGTTTCAGGGTTACCTGGACTCGGGGTCGGGTTACACGCGCAGCACGGTCGTCACGGCGATCAAGTTCACCATATCAGACCAGCCGCAGTCCATCGACTCGCTGCTGCGGGGCTGCATCGGAGACTTCCTGAAGACGCTGCAGGACCCGGACCTTAACGTGAGAAGGGTGTCGCTCGTCGCCTTCAACTCAGCAGGTGAGGCTCAAGACATCTTCAAGAGTGTCTTGACTATCCTATAGCTTCAAATTATGCTCCACATTCCCTTATACGTCACTCTGTAATACTTCTTCAAGATGGTTGAGATGCAAGTTAGTTGTTGTAGTGTCTTCTTCCTATCTATTCTTTGCATCATTTGATAACTTCATATCATTAGACATTGGAATAATCTTGATATGGCTTCCTCAAATTTAATATTTTGTACTTAAAGAAGGCAGAGAATTTCACCTGAACTTGGCATATATAAACTGCACATGGCAACTGCCCTTGTCACAATAAGAAGGAGAATAGGGTTCTGTAAGAAAGACTATATTCCTGTCATGTTTTGTCTTTAGCCCACAACAAGCCGTCTCTGATCCGTGACCTGTTGGACCACCTCTTGTACAACCTTTCCTCTAACTCTTCTCTCATTCCCTCCCTCCATCCACAGCCCACAATCAACAAGCCGTATCTGATCCATGACCTGTTGGACCACCTCTTGTACAACCTTTCCTCTAACTCTTCTCTCATTCCTTCCCTCCATCCACAGCCCACAATCAACAAGCCGTATCTGATCCATGACCTGTTGGACCACATCTTGTACAGCCCTTCCTCTAACTCTTCTCTCATTCCTTCCCTCCATCCACAGCCCACAATCAACAAGCCGTATCTGATCCATGACCTGTTGGACCACATCTTGTACAGCCCTTCCTCTAACTCTTCTCTCATTCCCTCCCTCCGTCCACAGCCCACAACAAGCCGTCTCTGATCCGTGACCTGTTGGACCACGTCTTGTACAACCCTTCCTCTAACTGTTCTCTCATTCCCTCCCTCCATCCACAGCTCACAACAAGCCGTCTCTGATCCGTGACCTGTTGGACCACGTCTTGTACAACCCTTCCTCTAACTGTTCTCTCATTCCCTCCCTCCATCCACAGCCCACAATCAACAAGCCGTATCTGATCCATGACCTGTTGGACCACCTCTTGTACAACCTTTCCTCTAACTGTTCTCTCATTCCTTCCCTCCATCCACAGCCCACAATCAACAAGCCGTATCTGATCCATGACCTGTTGGACCACGTCTTGTACAACCCTTCCTCTAACTGTTCTCTCATTCCCTCCATCCATTCACAGCCCACAACAAGCCGTCTCTGATCCGTGACCTGTTGGACCACGTCTTGTACAACCCTTCCTCTAACTGTTCTCTCATTCCCTCCATCCATCCACAGCCCACAACAAGCCGTCTCTGATCCGTGACCTGTACAACCCTTCCTCTAACTCTTCTCTCATTCCCTCCCTCCATCCACAGCCCACAACAAGCCGTCCCTGATCCGTGACCTGTACAACCCTTCCTCTAACTCTTCTCTCATTCCTTCCCTCCATCCACAGCCCACAACAAGCCGTCTCTGATCCGTGACCTGTTGGACCACGTCTTGCCTCACCTGTACAACGAGACGAAGGTGCGTAAGGAGCTGATCAGGGAGGTGGAGATGGGGCCCTTCAAGCACACGGTGGACGACGGACTCGACATCAGGTAGGAAAACTGTGTTTTCCTTACCCGTCTGTCACCATGGTAACTGTTGCCATAGCAGAGACCCTGTGGTGTTAGGGTATATCATGTAGCAAGTGGCAGGACAGAGTTGGAGGGGCCGGTCACCAGGTATGGGGAGCAACATTTCCATTTTTCTTTACTTTTTCCTAGTCTCTAGCATGTGGTGAGTGACCTGGTCCAGATGTCTGTCACCATGGTAACTGTTTCTGTAGCAGACACACTGTGATATTTGGTAGGCTAGACCATGTGAAGGTAAACATTATAATAGTATACATTTTGTTTTTCACTTTGTTTGCAAATGTTACCTTTCTAGTTACACTTATGTTTTTGTCCAGGAAATCAGCTTTTGAGTGCACACTGTACATACTGATGGACTCCTCTCTGAACCTTTGTCTTAAAATTATTTTTGTTTCTCTCCAGGAAAGCAGCGTTTGAGTGCATGTACACCCTGCTGGACTCCTGTCTGGACCGGCTGGACATTTTCGAGTTCCTGAACCATGTGGAGGATGGACTGAAGGATCATTACGACATCAAGATGCTCACTTATCTCATGCTGGTCAGTTTTTTTCTCAGTTGTCACAATCAGTTCACTGTCTGAAATAGCAAAGTTCTTCATTCACAACCACTTTTCACAAGGCCAGTGTTTTGGTGACTGTTTGTCATCTTCAACAGGGCTATAATGAGTGGTTCACTCTGCACTGAAGCTGCTAACAATGTGGTCCCAAACGTTAAGCCAAGTGTCCTTGTCCAGACTAAGAATAAAATTTACAGTTAAAGCACTGTTCTCTACATTATGAAGCAAGTGGCAGGACAGAGTTGGAGGGGTTGGTCACCATAGATATGTCTTTGTATAAGAAAAAGCAGAGCAGTAGTTTGTTCCATTAGGCTACAACATGAAAGGTAAACAAACATTTTGCTTTAGCTTTGCAAATGTTATCTTTATAGATTGTTTACCGAAGGAAAGCATTTTTTTGCTCTGTTTCTTCTTCTTCCCTTCCAAACACTGATGTCTGACCTGGTCAATGACCAGACTGTCTCTCACCATGGTAATTGGTGTTGGGTTACATAATGTTGTAATTTTATAGTAGGAGGGATTTAGGCTCCTGTCACCATATATGTGAATGTGTTTGAGTAAGAATTAACAGAGCAGACCTTATGCGAAGGTGAAAGTGTTAATGCTTTTAAACTGTTTTCCCTCCCCCTCCAGGTGCGGTTATCCACCTTGTGTCCACACGCGGTACTGCAGCGGTTGGACCGGCTCATCGAGCCGCTCCGCGCCACCTGCACCACCAAGGTCAAGGCCAACTCCGTCAAGCAGGAGTTCGAGAAGCAGGACGAGCTGAAACGGTCGGCCATGCGCGCCGTCGCCGCCCTCCTCGCCATCCCCGACGCCGACAAGAGCCCACTCATGATGGACTTTCTGTCTCAGATCCGGGCGAGCCCTGAAATGGCCACCATGTTCGATAGTATCCAGAAAGATGCAAGTTCCACCAGCATAGAGACCATGGACACCAGTTAGGCGCGGGCTTGAAAATCAGCTGCGAAAAAATGTGCATTAATTACTCGTATAAAATTCCTGAACGTGAACCTTTGTAGGAAGAAAAAATGTTTGATTGGAATTTTTGTGATGCATGTTTTTACTCGAGGCTATTCCAACGAAATTACTTGTTTCTTGGTGTATCAAAGTTTAAAAGCTGTAACATAAACTTTTTGAGTCAAGAATCCCTCTAAGATAGCCTAGATGCGTGTCGATGGCTGTTAAATATGATGCAAGTACATTTAACTTGTTGTGAAAATTTGTCTTTGGTTTTTCCCCTTTTCCTTTTGTTTTAGAAAAATAAGAAACAGGAAATTTTGTTGGCAAGGCCTGAGTTAAATCGGTGCATTACTTATAGAAGATTCCAGAACTTAAACCCTTGTTGGAAAAAGTTGCGACTTGTTTGAAGCTGATTGCGCGAAAAAAATCAGTTTCCGGAAATCAGAAAGTTTTTGAGGAATTACCTTGGTTACACAGATGGAAGAATCGGTTTATAGTGATAGCTTGGTGCAAGGAAGTAAACAAAAATTGTACATTTTTCATGAGGTACTAGCTTTGGTGAAAATACAGAGAAACTTAGGAGTCAACAGTTGATGAAATCTACATGTAACTTGTAAGTAGCATGTTCAAATGTATTTTCACTGACTGGCGTTTCTTGCTTAAAGCAGTGTCTGAGATCTGTTATGAATACATTTCACTACACAAAAGTGTTGTATGCATTTAAAAAGTTCGGGCTTTTGATGGAATTTTGTTGCTCAGAATTTTTGATAATTCTGACATCCTCCACTTGCAATGAAATTGGTGCATTTTGACATTGAAAAATTGAACACACCGTACCATAACTGCTGACAATAGTTCTACATGGTAGGGTTTTTTCTAATTGAAGTGTGGAGAACACTTCTGAGCTACACGTAGTAAAAGCCTTGTTGAAGTTGTCCCTTTTGTGAGACATGATGTCCAACCTACTGTAAGACAAACGCCTGCATTAAACTCTCTCAGATTGTCAAAGAGCTTTGTTTATAGCGCCTTTTTTTCTTGGACTGTTCTATGCACCTCATGTACATGTATTCAAGGAGTGTCTCGCTTTTTTTTTTCTAGCTGTTAAAAGCTTGTATTCGATTTTATATGAGTACAAGTCACTTGCTAAGTTGCATCTACGAAATCTACGAACAGCTGCAGCGCTCCTGGCGGAATCTGCCGGAAACGCACCTGGGCCCGCTCCTGGGAAGGATCACCCCTCTGATGACAGTGGTCAGGTCGGAGGGGGGCATGGACATGGAACCACATGAATGAATGAATGAATTAGTGAGTGAGTGAGTGAGTGAGTGAATGCATGCATGCATGAACGAATAAATGAATGATCAATAAATGGATGAATGAATGAGTGAATAAATGAATTTATGAAATGAACGAATGAACGATGAAAGAAAGAATAGATCATTATCATGCAACATTTACAATGTTACTGTAAGAAATTTCCATGCAAACCTTTACGTGTGTACGTAGTATTAGAACATATTATTACCCCGGATAACCGGAATCTTAAATAAAACTACATGTGCACAACATTATATTTTTTTGGTGTTTATTTTCTTCCGCTTTCAAAGATAAACAAAAATGTAAATCATAATGTATACAGAAAACTAACACATGCAATTCTAAGTATGTATGTTTGTGTAACAATATAAGGGTACTTCTTATTTGATTTGATGTATATGAGAACATTTTGTGGCATGATAAGGCCATTGCATTACCCTACACTTCATACTAGGCAAAACGTTTTCACATACTGATTTCAATGAGGCATATAGATGATTGAAATACAACGACTTCGCACTTGTAAACACACTTGCGAGCTAGCTGTTGTTTTTGATAGTACATTTTTCTTGATGTTTGGAGACCCAAAGTATCATCGAACTTTGCTAACCCTTAAAAGACTATGGAATACAACAATTTTTCTAAAAGAATTACTTCAAAGTCTACATATATATATCATAATGTATACACAACTAACGTTACGTTAATATTTGCAGTAAAACTTTGTAACTCTACCTGTCAATTAGTTAACATTTGATTTTCCTCTTTTTCTTAGGAGCTGAAACATGTTCAATTCTAATATCAGAGCGTTTTGGTGTACAGAAAATGACCGCGTGTTGTAAGAGTCTATACCTACTTGTTTCTTTGACAACACGCGAACTCGGTTACGTTCGGGGATATCTAGTTCTATGCCTGAATGGTTTAGGGTTAGGATCAAGTACGATTCTGGATAGTCTTCGTGTGTCCAAGAACTTAGATTTGCCCCCAGGCACGGTCCCGGATACGCGTGGACTATATATATATCCAGAACCGTGCCTGAGCGTGGTTCTAGAAAAAAGCACGGACCTGAATACAACAGACCCCGTTCACACACCGTACCTCTTTGGTTGGGTGACAAAAAACTCAAGTGAGCAGGTCAGCATACAGGGAGAGGACTGAAAGATCGAAGAGTGAAAGTAATAAAAAAAGCTTTGGTCGTCCCGTTATCTAGTTCTAGGTGCTGAAGGGCGGGACGGGGAACGACATCGACTTTGACCCCCTTAATGACGTCACGTTTCTGTGAGCGGTTAAACTGGAAGTACTCTTAGTAGTACATGCAAAGAAGGCTTTGGTCATCTGTTTGTCTAGTTCTGGGCAGCGTCTGTATGCGGGAATAGGACCGAAAGAGCGGTTAAAATGGAAGTACTCTCAGACTAGTTGGAAAGAAAGCTTTGTCCGTCTCGATATCTAGTTCTGTGCGCCGAAGAGCGGGTGGACGGTGCGGTCCCGGCAGTCGGTGGGCGAGTTGGGCGCCGTGAAGGTTTTCTGGTCGCCTCCCTGCGCGGCGCTGCCGTAGAAGCCCTTCTCCCCGGCCTTCATACACGCCACGCGCGTGTTCGTCCCGATTCCCACGCATCTGGGGACAGAGAACAGCGGAAATGTGATATTTAAAGACATGATATTGTATACTATTATCCGCAGTAATGAAAGTATGCCAGCAAAGGAGGCTATATCACTACTACGTTCCTGCCGATTCCAACACATTTGGAGACGAAACAGCAGCGAGGAATTGATTAGAATAACTACTACTACTACTACGTTCTATTACTACTACTACTACTACTACTACTACTACTACTACTACTACTACTACACTTACTACTCTGCTGCTATAACTACTACTACTACTACTACACTTACTACTCTGCTGCTATAACTACTACTACTACTACTACTACTACTACTACTACTACTACTACTACTATTACTACCACCACTACTACTACCAAATACAACTACTTCTACTGCTACATCTGCTGCTGCTACTAGAGCCCCACCTGCAGAAGTCGTCCCTTCCGTCTCCGTCCTCGTCCTTCATGTACCAGGTGTTGGGGAAACCCTCGTCAAACCACTCTCCGTTCTCCCCGATAGAGTTGTAGTTGTACTGGCTCTCTCCTGCCGTTCCAGCCAGAGCACAGGACAGGTACATCAGGCCTGGGGCAGGGGACACAATCCTGGAGGAGAAAATAGAAAAAAATGTTGTTGTTTGTTTGTTTGTTTGTTTGTAAACCACCGCCGTTTTCTCCGATAGAGTTGTAGTTGTGCTGTCTCTCTCCTGCCGTCCCCACCAGGGCACAGGACAGGAACATCAACCCAGGGGCAGGGGACACAACCCTGGAGGGGAAAATAAAAGTTTGTTGTTTACTTTTACCCATCGCCGTTTTCTCCGATAGAGTTGTATACGTAGTTGTATTGTTTCCCCCTCGATACCTCGGAATGTGCACAGGACTTGGAGAACAATTCCAAAGAAAGGGAAAAAACATTTTGTCTACCTATAGTATCAATAAAAGTGTATGATTGTCTACATCAAGGCAAGTAAACCGTGACGGGGGGTGGTACAGGCTTCCTGGCACATTAAAAAATGAACACACCTGCAGTAGTCATGCGCGGCGCCCTGTCCCGTGACGTCAGCCCAGCCCTGGAAGAACCTGGGATCGCCGAAGTCCGTGACGTCATAGCGCCGCGGTCTCGTTCCCGGGCACGACACGTTCCCATAATCCTCCTCGCCACCGTGGTGGGACCCTGCAATGACATTTCAAGGTCAGGGTCAAGGGTCAAGTAATAAAAGCCATGTGCTATGTTATGTTTTGCTAAACTATGTTATAGTTTTTGCTATATATATAATATTAGTTTCTGTTACACTTTTGTACAAATTCCTGGTGCAACCGTGAGTCATTGTAACCCTCCTGTCTTCTGAGAAAGTGTAGGCGACCTTTGAGTGACACCAGTAATGGCCTAACCTCCCATGGGGTCTAAGCCCGACTGCTTGACCATAACCATATTTGGGGATACAAGGGGCTGACCAGTAACGTCTTAAGAAAGGGAGAGGATATGACTCACGATGACTGATATACAAAGAATCCAACTTGTTCCAAGAAAACCTGTGTGTAGGCGGGCAAACTATATAAAAGCCCGAGTACTCTTGTAGTTAGAACAGTTCAGCAGAGTTCCCGTTTGAGAGAGAAGAGAATACAGTCACGTCACTATGTAGCTCTGGCTCCTGTGTCATTTGTCCCGGGTACGTACATCTACAACATCGGCGGCCATCTTACGAACTTGTAAGGGTCACCCATCGAGACTGAGGTCACTTTAAGCTACCATGTCTTCGTCTTTGACCTTGACATACCCTTACAAATGGTGGCAGCGGTGGGATGGCTGCGTACGTCGCCCAGGACAGAGGACCAGGAGCCAAGTTCAACGCTACAGAAGACTGGAGACCAGAGAGGCTACCAACGATACCACTGGCAGACGAGCAGACAGGAGAGCGACGGGTCGCTGCCTTTCAGCTGACAATGGAGGTAGAACTACATATGTTGTTGTCTGACCGCTGAAATGTTATATTGTTTTAGTGTAGAGAGGCTTCGTTTGATAGGACTGTCGTAGGTCCACGGACGTTGAGAATGTGGACATGCTGATTGTAGTTCGTTTTGGTACTAATGGGTAGGGATAGTTTTGTGCTGTTGTAAAAGCTCTAGGATTGAAGAATTGATTTCAGAATCTGTTTTACTTGTTATCCGAATTCAGCTATCCAGGGTTAGGATTATGTCGAAAAATGTTGGGCAAGGCGTGCCTTGTAGCCTGGTGTGTTTGGCTGTTGCCATGGTGAAATTCCATTCTTCAAGTTATCTTGGCCAGGAGGAGAAAGCATAGTGAAGCAGGAGAAAGTTGGACCATGAACATTGACGAATGTACTAAAATTTCAAATTAATGGTTGTTGCTTGGCAGGGTGCTGTGAATTTGTGTAGCAAAGATAAGTTGTGATGTCGGTTAGCATAGAAAGTGACCTGTATTGTCGTTGTATACAGTCCTTGAATTTTTGGTTGTGTTGTGTAATTAGTAATACTCAGGAAGGGATGAGTGGAGTTTGCGGGATAAGAAGCTTGAAGTGAAAAGTTTATCGACGCGTGAGATCGCGGAGGTGCAGATTTTAAGTTGTAGGAATATAGGACGACAAAGACGGGACATTGAGTGTATTGTTCGATTCATGTTTTTTTGTTAACCAGAAAGAAGCTAGGTAGATTTGTTGTGATCACCAGGCTGTCACATGCATAGTTCTGACGGGCTCTTCGTTTCCTTGGAAACCCAAACCTCAGGGACTGAATGATAATTCAGATGGAGCGATGATGCTTTGTCAGAGGGCTTGTGGACATCTTTGTTGCCATGTGTAACTTTTTCTAAATTAGGAAGGCCAGGCTAATTGGTTCCGTTCTAACAAGTACTAAGACAGCTTTTGGGAGGAAGATGGTTTGATGCATTGATGCTAGGCATTGGTAAATTTAATTCAGGTTCAGAGAAGTCGAGGAGAAGAAGAGGTTCAAGAATAAGGAACTTAGATTAGTTCAGGCCGGCGGTCAGACTGTGGCGTTGTGTTCTTTCCTACGCTGTATGCGACGTATGGTGAGGATAGCAGGATTTCACGGCTCTTTGGGACCCCAACCGTGTCACTTGCGTCTCCAGGACAACGGCTTGCAGATCAACCTCAACCAAGGACTTCTACAGCGCAACAATGTTCACCACCGGCGGTACATCCGAAAGGGCCCCGGGGGACATGCTACCGGAAGGATCAACGCAAGTTCGGGACCTGCGGGTCGTATACTGAAAGGCGTAGGACTGGTTACCAGCGCAGACGAGTCTAGGAGACCGAGGATGAACTAGGAACTACGAGAAGAAAATAGAATATGAAGGACCGAGAAGAAGCAGTCGATTATGGGATGAACTGAATTGAACTTATGATGTCCATAGAACCAATGTGAATGGTGTAAGACAGACAACCGAGTGAAACATGCTGCGTTGAGTACTGGAACAATTGGTATTGGGAGAAATGATCGCATTTTCTATTGTACTGTTAAGCGTCGCTTTTATAACCTTTGTAACATGTACACCATTCCGATTTGCTAGATTGTAATGTTTCACATCTTCTCTAGTTTGGACTAATGTTAACCACATCTGTAATTACGTCGCCAGGGACGGCTCCATTTTGAAAGGGGAGCATGTAGTAGGGTGCTCTGACCTGATATGTTATAGTTTTTGCTATATATATAATATTAGTTTCTGTTACACTTTTGTTACTAAATTCCTGTGCAACCGTGAGTCATTGTAACCC